ATAATTTACTCTCACATAATGATTTGCCTCTACAATGTCCGGTCACGATTGATTTTTTTTGCAAAGTTGTTCCAAGTGTACTGTTGATCTGTTGCCGGTCGTAGAGTCTTCTTTCTGAATTATTATGAAAACCAATTAGTGTTTTACAACAGCTGTATTCTATATGTAAGAACAAACACGGCTCATATGGTCAAAATAGGGAATTGCATCGGACTTCATTTTTGTCACTGATGCATCAAATTCAGAAATGTCCCTTACACTTGTACCATAAAACATTTTGACAACTAGCGAAGGATAAAGTGATTGTTGATTGCAAAGGGATGGCGGAAAACATATGTTAATACAGTTGTGGCCGCACTCATATCTATGCACCATTGCAACAGATTTGTAGTGGTGACAAAACTAGTTGTTTCGAAAATCCCACATTCATACATTCAACAATATCCTCCCTTACATTCTACAAATAGCTTCAAACAGAATTCGAATGACAAACATACAAGTCATGATCTCAATAATAGATAAGCCTGAACTACTGTCGCTTTTTCAACTGCTGCCCGTACACATCGAGGTCAACTAAACTGTAGAATGTTCCGCCTTCACAATTAGTTCAAGTGAAGCTATGTTTTCATATCCCATTGAGCTCTCAACGCAAACTGACCTGCTAACGTGTATATGTCCATATTGTATTTTGTACTATTGAAAAGGAAACACAGATAAATGTATTGGTGCACACTTACATGACGAAACGGTTTACTTTGGTTAACATTATGATTGTATTATTTCCCCAGTATGCCAATCCACACCACTGCTTTTTTCATCTTCTGTAGCTCTACGCGTTTTCAAGCCCATTCAACTCGTAAAATCCCATAAACCTCGTTAAAGCCACATGTACCTTACAGTATGTGCTATTGTTGTCAGCATCCCAGAAAGGATACAATACACTGTGGTCCTTTCTATTTCATTTGTGTGAGAGAGACATTCTACAGAAAAATCTTCAGGAAATGTATGAAGTTGTTGTCTGTCATTTGTACATTTCCGGATTTTCGGATTTATGGTGTACGGCATGCACTACCTCTCAGTCTTGTTAGTTGCGACATCCAGGGAAGGATATTGCGTGCAAATTACTGTCGTTTTGCCGTGTCTTATCACTGCATGAGTTTCGTGGCATCTATATGTATGAATACATGCTTCAATAATGCCCATCAACAGACACGCAATGGACGCGTGGTGTTTTTTGTTTCCTGCAACAGACATTATTGTGAGATAAATAATTATTACATCGTCGCCAAGACTGGCCACCAGTTCATCCCTCTGTGCTCTGTTCTGAAAACTAAGAGTGAGTGAGTGAGTTGGGTTTAACGCCACTTTTAACAGTATTACAGTTATATCGTGGCGTGTCAGCCCCATGTGTGAGGAAAGCCCGAAGTTTGAAAACTAAGAAAACAATGTTGACTAAGTACATATATATATGTTTCAAGGGTGTTTTAATTTCATTCAATGGTCATTTCAGGCAATTGATACACCATAACTTCAATTGACTGATTATACTGCTCAACATTAACATATCGTGTGTTATCCCACACGATTTTAGGGTTTTCGAGTAAACTAAAACCTCATCACACACACGTCTCTCGTCTCAATACTTTAGTCACTTGTGGTTAAAAAAACGTACCTCCTTTTTCTACAACCTGAGCTTCATCTTCATCTTCACGGGTATCAAACACGCTTTTAGGGCATCTGAAGTAGACAGCTTAATCCACGAGGTGTGGACATTGAGAAGATTTGATAAGCAGCCTATAACCACTGAGTATGAATGAAAATATACCCCCCCACCCCCCCCACCCCCGCACCCCCCCCCCCTCCCACCCACCCACCCACCCACCCCCCCCCCCCCCCCCCCCCCCCCCCCCCCCACACACACACACACACCCACACCCAGCCCCCACACCCACCCCTGCAGTGCATGTGAAAGAGACGGCCATCACTGTGTGACACATATAAGGGTCATACTTCGTGTCATGCATGTTAAGTGTCGTGGGACATACTATCATATGTAAAGACATGACGCTAAGGTGTTGTCAGAAATACAATGTTTGGTGACCTACGTGTAGTATGCTGATAATACAGGCATAAGGTAAGGATGTGCTGGGATCAGAGAGGGACGACAGGGGTTGCATCATATGTTTCCAGTGCATGAATGTGTTCGAATGTGTGCACATGTATATGTGAATGCACGACTTTCTCAATATTGTTGGTGATTGTACATATGAAAGACTGGTAAAGATGTGATTATTGTTATTTATACTGTTATATATTAACGGCTATCAAAAATGTTTAAAAGTCTACAACTTTTGAGTTCCACACACCAAGGAATGTGTTGGAGTCTTTTGCTCTTTCCCGAGAATTGGCACGAAAGATAACCCATCCTTCCATATTAACCACCAGTGACCGGCACAGAGCGGTACAATGATTTCATTTGTGTTCAGCGTTTTCTTTTGCTTTCACTGAAGTTGAACACATTGAACACATGCTTATGATGTGCGTTTAGACGAGATCTATTCCAATTACAGAACGGGTTTTATTTAAAGATGACGTAATTGAAGAATTGTATTCCATGAGGTCAAGTACGTGTGTTTCCAAATGTCATTCCTTTACAATGCCACACACCAACTGATGATAAGCTGGTATTGAGAAAGGAACAAATGTCTTATATAGTAACAGGATATATATATCGTTTCTTCACCTCGTGTGTGATATGATATGCGACGTTGACTGTAACCTACATGTAACAAATGTAGTAGAATTATAATTCTGTGTAGCTGACGATGGGTGGGTGCTTAGGTTTGGTCTGTGCAACGAAATTTATCTTTCCTGAGCGACTGAATAATAACATCAGCGAATCGAAGATTACATTTTCTGCATGCTACGTTTCACACTAATTATATAAGATACCGTCAGCATGCATGATTTACTGTCATCTGGGCTTCAGAGCTACACATTTTATCTGCCCTAGCTTAACATACATGTTCAGTTGTTTCACAGATATTCTACATATCAACAGCAATAGAAACGCTGTAGTGCAGCTCTGGCTGGAGACCACATTATAACAATTATCATCCCAGAGAGACATTATAGTTGAGCAATTGCTAATTATCCATCCGTCCTTCGAAACGACTAGTCACTCTGCCTCATATGAACACGGGGAAGAGAGAATGAGTGAAGGCTTTTAGCAATATTTTAGCAATATCACTGCGGTGGGCACCAGAAATGGGCTTCACACATTGAACCCATGTGAGGATTCGAACCCGGGTCTTAGGCGTGACGAGCGAACATTATAACCACTGGACTACCCTACCGCCCCTCACGCGGAAGAATGTGCAAGTGATAACTAATTGGGTTCTTCTGTCATTCGCAATCTGAAATTCCGGAAACTGAAATGGATGTAACGAACGAACTGTTAATAGAAATGTTGTTGATCATCACATTACCTGCGTTTGAAAGATGTTTTACAAGGCGTAGAAAGTCAACGATTAGAATGTATGTGAAATTATTGTCAACAAAATTCATGATACGTGGACCTTGCAGTGGACATTTGGAAGAGGTATGATAGTGTGTCCGTCTGTCCGTGTGGACGACTTGACTACAGCTGAAGAAGATCCAATCATGATTAAAGTCCAATCATGGACATTTTCGTATTGCTGACACGTCTAACATCAAGTGTTGATCCATGCTATGGTCTTGTTCTTTCAGTTTTTAGGCTGCTGATTGCAGTTTACAAAGCCTAAAATATATAGAAAATATCTGTAGACAGCAATATGTTCCTTAAACACGCTAACTATTTATGCTAGCCGGTATTCCATATCAATGCCAAAATAACGCCCACATATATCCTACACGTTGACCAGGTCACCCAGTACCCACAATGTACCACAGCTTTTGTACACAACATGTATTTAGTTTTGTCTTGCATTATCACAGATATTGTCATGATTTCTAGAAACTTATTTAGATTGAGACCTATTATCCTTTTTAAAAGACTACTTTTTGTGGCAATATTTCCATGTCTATTGTCTTCGTTGCAAGACTAACATATAAGTCATGACACCTTGAAAGGGCTGGCTTGGTTATTGACTGAACAGCTGGACGTAGTGGAGAAAGGCATCTCAGTGAAGTTGTCACTGCTCTCTTATCTACATGTGTAAGAGGCATACTGAACCGCATGTTGCTTTTGTGACCACACGTCAATTATCGACACTGCAGTGATGTTATTTCTTTATTATTGTTGGTCATAGTGTGTGACAACAAACTTAAAATGCACGATAAGAGGTATAACCCCCACATAGGTATATTATAATCTCTTTCACATACACACCATTTTGCCAAACTCCGCCTTTATATCAGTTTTGAAATCCGAAAATCCGAAATTCCGAAATCTTTGGTTGAAGCTATTGCGAGAGAGCGTGAGACGTTGTGTCCCCTCTCGTGCCGGGGCGTCCCGCTGTGCTCACATATAGCTTAGAGGTTTTGATTTAGTCATTCCAGTTGGAACACACAGAGTGGTGTACGTCAGTGTCATACATGAATAGGCAGCATGGGGAACATTGCCTCGTGCTTCTCCGGACTTCAGTGGCAGGTACGTCTTAATAACGCCCTTTTAGATATGTTCATTAAGGTGCAATAATGGTAGTAATATATGTACACATCATTTAACACTACACGTGTGGCATTCTGTATATATGCTTAATAGTGGATATATGGTAACGAACATACGGTTCAAAGTCTTTATATACTCACTCCTGTTCCGCCAGACATTGTCTCTGTTTATCATTCCATATTCAGTATTATTGTGTGGAAGTTTATCATCCCATATTAAGTGTTATAGAGGGGAAGTTTGATCCCACCTGAAGAATAATACTGTATTTGAGTTCAACGCCTTTCAGGAAATACTACAGCATGTCATCTTGACACACAATTGATTGTGTGTGTTTTTCGTTCTAGAGAATGCACCAGTCAAGCAACGAGCTGATCGAACAGATCATAAGCAGAGGTGCGTTAAATTGATAATTTTGTGCGACATTCTTTATCATGATTTGATGATTTCATTTCAGAAATTTGGCAATATATGCCATATGTGTTCAGCATAACTTTCAACATATTTTGATCGTTATTATGATGACATATATGTATATGGGAAGATTTGTGCAACTTCTTTTTCTGTCAATTTGTATTGCTTATTTGGAATATCGATGAGCATTGGAGATGAATAAAGGTTAATTCGATACCACATGTCAATCACACAAAACAGAAAGAAACCTGTTTATGTGAGCCTTTGTGGTAGAATTAGTGTTACATCAAGTAATACAGATTTCTGTGTAGGTTCAAAACGCTGTGTGAACGAGAGACTGAAGACTCCTGTAACTCCACGAGATCTCGGACTTGTTGCGAGACATATCGGGATGGGATTTGAGTATATCGGGATTGAACTTGGGCTCAGCGTTGTGGCTATCCAACAGGGCAGAGTTGCACACCCATGTTCAATGTATATGCAGATCTTTATTATACTCACTAAATGGAAGCAGTGGAATGGCAGTTCGGCCACCTATCTGGACCTGGTCAAAGCACTATGGACATGTAAAGAGAGATGCACGATCGAATGGGAGGACATTCTCAACATCCTGCAGTGACGGTCCTCTTTGTCAGTGTAATTGCACCTTGGTAGAAGAAATATTACATAAATATGAAAACAAACTGTTTTTATCATTTCGACCATACCTTTGTACCTTGTTCCGAAATATTGTAATCTCAGGTCTACTATACAGCAATCAGTAAACAGGGAGCATATCATCAGTCATCATGTTTGGGAAATAAAAACATTTATCAAATCAGTGTTTCTTTGTGTTTTCTGCATTTGCAAGTTTACCTCAAGAACACCTGGAGTCAGATTGTACCAATGGCGGCTCCTACACGTGGAGTCAGATTGTACCAATGGCGGCTGCTACCTGTTGGGCAGGACATGCGTGCACTTTCACAAGACATGGTGTCATCAGTGATTATCAGTTATCCATTCCTATAGTTTTCCCCCCTATTTTGCCTTTTACGCCCAATGGAATGTGTTTCGGTAGATAATCAAGACTGGTTATTCTCTGGCGTTGTATATTTATTAAGTTTAGAATGCTACGGATTGGGGCTTACATGGGAAATATTTCCCGGAAATAATGAAAGTTCATAGTGATGCTTTTAATAAAGTCAGAATCGTAAAATGGAGTCGGCTTACAACAGAGATTTCTTGTGATTATGCAAAGGGTTTTGTCGCTCTTATCCATACAAACATCTCTGACGAATTCAAATACCTCCACCTCACAGTGATAATGATAAATTACTCAGAAATTCACAAACTGTCTAAATTGAATTGAATACAAAACTGATTATTTAAGTCAGTAATCAGAACATATTCGTAATTCGTAATTCGATCCCAGTGCTAAACAACCTTCATATTGTACATCGTTTCAAATATTCAAACCGTCCCTCTGTTTATATCACTAGAAATAGAATAAGTAAGCGTAAACGCTTTCTCTCCCTTTCTCACAACCTGAACAATAGGTTACAGGTACAATGGTTGTGGTGATCAAGAGATCAAAGTTTTATGTACATGAAATGAAGAACAAATTTGCTTCATGGTATGATTTAAAACAGGAAAATACTATTTCCATTTTGGAAAATGAGTTCAACACAAAACACAACATTTAAAGCCGTTTAAAAATCAGTGCACTTCATTTCATTATACCTTTCGTCATTATTACGTTCATTTGCCACATTCAGAAAACAAAGTCATTTTAGCCCAGTACGAACAGCTACAGGTGATGCTTCTATTGACAATACGCCTGTAAGCATTTTACCAACAGTATCCAGGTCTCGTCAGGATAACTTCCGTACTTTTCAAATGCTAACATAATATCTGAAAACAGAGTTGCCTCCCTTTGACCAGCTACTGTAAACGTGGTATGCATTATTAAACCCTATCTATCCCTGACATTGTCTACAATTGACTTTGTTGACAGGATAATGTTTGTAACGGCGTTGGTAGTACAGCTTGCGATAACATGTAATTGAAATGAAATCTTGATAATTTGAGATCGGCAAGGGACAATCACCATGTTTCGTCAATGTCGGGTGTGAGTGGGGCTGAATCTAATTTCCTTTCTAATTAAATCTCCAGAGTGTGTGAGTGAGTGAGTTGGGTTCAACGCTGCTTTTAACAGTATTACAGTTATATCACGGCGTGTCAGCTTAATGTGACAGGAAAGCCCGAAGTGATG